GCAGCAAAAGAGGGAGAATAGCAGAGGCTATTCTCTGGTTTCTGTTTGGTGCTGCCAGGAAGTAAACACTCGATGGTACAATTTGTAGGAAAGGAAAATTACCTCTAATTGGAGGTTGGGATAAAAATATCTCCAATCTGTAAACAAAGTTGTTGGAGCATCCTGGAGGTACAGAGCTTGAACTACAGAGCTGTAGATATGCTGTCTCCCCACTGTGAGGAGGTGCTCCACACCGGCCCCTGAATCAGTTCCTCTATTTGGCTCCAAGATAATCCCCACTTGGGGTCATGCTCATCTGTGTCCCCAGTACTGAAGCACAGATGAGGAAAAGCTTCCCATCTTCTCCAGGCCATGGAAATATTCATCAGGTCAAGCAGAGGAGACAGCTGGTCTGTTTTATCTCATCACAGGTGTCCTTCCTAAAGGTGGTCTGGGGAGTGTTGTTTACTAGCTGTCCCTCACACCTTTTCCCTGGTGTCCGGAGGGGGGATCCAGCCAAGCCCAGCTTCTCTACTTCCTCAAAGAACTGAGACAGATACCTCAGCAGGGGAGCTGGGGATTCATAGGTCTTAAGGCCTTCAGTCCTGGGGAGCAGCAAACCCTAGTTAGCCTTCCACTGTGGCCATGAAATTGTCCATTCAGTGTTGATTGTTGTGTTGTGTTTTCAGGTCCACTGGTCACTAAAGAGACCTTGGCTGATGATGATGCAATGCTCTAATTCCTCCTCTAGCAGAGGTAAGTGACTCTTTCTTTCACCAATTACGTGTATGATATGCTTCCTTAAACACACACCACACACAAACATACACTTAACACACTCTAGCCCGTGAACACCCAGCCTCTTTTTGGTGAAATATGAAAGGGCTGCTAAACAGTTTCTTATAAAGGTCTCTCTCTAGGAAGACACTTTAAGCACACACTTTGGCATTAATATGACTTTTCTCAACTGTGCTATTACAAAGGAAAGGACCTTGCAAATAAATTGAACTTCAAAAGAACTTCTCTTCCTTCTATAGCATGAGCAGCACATCTCCTCAGAGGAGGTGAAGGTTTTATCCCCTGCTGTTTCCTTAGATGATAGGGAGATCCTTCTACGTAAATGAACTTAAAGAAATACTTTGACGAGAAGGAGCAGGACCTGATAGTTGAGAGAAAATGTGAGAGAACAGAGTTGGAAATATTTCAAGGAAGAGGAAATTTGAATGGAGGTAAGATAGAGCAACAGGATCTTTGATAAGCCCTGAATAAAAATGCTTTTATAGAATAACTCCAGGGTCAGAGACTTCCATCAGTCAATGGATCTCACTTCTATCATGCTGTGAGGGTTGACTTCAGGTGATTGTTCAGGTGTATAATGGCATAGTGAAGGGACAGAAGCCATAGCTATGTTACTTTTTAAGAATATAATCATAGAGGGGCGCCTGGGTGGCTCAGTCGGTTAAGCTTCCGACTTCGGCTCAGGTCATAATCTCACAGTTTGTGGGTTCGAGCCCCATGTCGGGCTCTGTGCTGACAGCCAGCTCAGAGCCTGGAGACTGTTTCGGATTCTGTGTCTCCCTCTCTGACCCTCCCCTGCTCACGCTGTCTCTCTCTCTCTCAAAAATAAATAAAAAATTTAAAAAAAAGAATATAATCATACCAAGAGAACAAATACACATTGATGTAAAAGTTCCTCTCTGCTTCTCATTTTCTCTGACCCATCTGCAGGCTGAAGTTTCTTTTCTTTATCAAGACTCTCCAGGAATGTTGTAGTCATTTTGCCCATTCTGAGCCAAAGTGATTCTGAGCCAAAATGACTCAGAGGAAACGGAAGAGGCACAGGCAACAGACATTTAATGAGCACCTAGTATGTTTTGGAACTTTATTTCACACAATGACCACTTGAGGTGGGTATTGGTATCCCTATTTTACAGACAAGGAATCCAAGACTTAGGGAAATTAAGTTACTTCCCAGGTTTACAAAAGCCAAGGATTTGAATCATTGTCCATCAGACTTCAGAGCTTATGTTTCCTCTCCTGTAACTGCTGCTGCCAGGACCCCTCCAGTCTGTTTAGAGGTGACTCTCACAGGAAAACCTTACTCTTTGCTACTTGATTTACACTTTGCATTAGTATTGAAAAGTTTTGCAAATGCTTTTGTTCAAATTTAGCACAAATGTATTTAGTTCCCTGAACTCTTTTAAGAAATGTATCTCTCCTTAGTAAATCACACATTAGAAATAAGCGTATTCAGTTGAATAATGTGATAGAAGCAGAGACTGCACAGCTTCGCTGACTGAATGCTTCCAGACCTCTAGTTCCCTTCTAAACAGGGCCAGAGCTCTCCTGGGAACAATTAGATCACATGAAGAAGCAGATCACTTGACAGCCAAATGTGTTCTACCCTGCCCTGGTGCATCACTAGTTAGGCTTCATTCCAGGATTGTGTCTCAGCCACCGGCCATGACATGCAGACTCCATCTGTGGAGGAAAATCAATGTTTTACAATGAAGCACCTGCATCCACTCTCTTAGGAACCTCTGTTCCATATAGAATATTCATGGAGCCTTTCTCTGTGGTCTTGTTCTGAATTTCAAAAGATTCTCTGACAGAAAAAACCATTTAACAGACAGAACCATGTCACAATGCAAACACAGGAAATCCAGCAGGAGAAAAGAGGCACTAGTTTCTGAAAACTATTCTGTCCACAGTCAGACATCTCATACTTCCCAGGTAATCAAAATGGTTCTTTCTATATATCCAGGAACTAAAGAGAATGATAGAGAAAAGAGAAAGCAGAACGAAAAAGTCAGTGGGCCTAAGAAGAATTTTTCTCTTGTTAATTCCTGTATGTTGTGTTGGATGTAGGGAGAAAGGCTGCCATTATGATATAATTTTCACATATTTTTATTTGTGACTTTGGAATATGGAGAACTGGAACTGAAAGAAAATTTAAGAAAGGAAAGACAAAATCATAATAAGCGGTTGTTATTTTTAAAATTTTTATTCTGTCTTTATGAGACTTTGAAAATGTAATTAATTCACACTTGCAAGGGTTTGAGCAATTACAAAAGTTATAAAGAAGATCATAAAGTGATGACAGTTGAAGAATATCCTTGGCAACAACTTTGATTTATTTCATGTTTCTTGGCATTCATAATTTGGTATATATGTAAATTATACACACACACTGTTCTACTTTGTAAAAGCTAAAAATACTAAATACTAAAAAAAATATGTAGGGTGACTGTGTGAAAAATGAAGTCCTTAGGTTAAACACTTTAAAAAGTTATTTATTTTATTTTTGAGAGAGAGAGAGAAAGAGAAAGGAGAGAGAGAGAATACAAATGGGGAGCAGATGAGGGGCAGAGAGAGAAGGAGACAGAGAATCCCAAGCAGACTGTGTGCTTAGTGCAGAGCTGGACACAGGGCTTGACGTGGGGCTTGATCCCATGAACTGTGAGATCATGACCTGAGCTGAAATCAAGAGTTGGACGTTCAACTGACCAGCCACCCAGGCACCCTCCTAAGTTAAACATTAAAAAATATTAGTTGTTGAAAACTCTGGCATATTTTACTAATAACTATACTCAGAATTCTGCTTTTACTTTGTTGTTTCCTGGGGCTTTAGGGATGTACTTTCTTTTTTTTTTTTTAAAATGTTTTTTATTTATTTCTAGGAGAGAGAGAGAGAGAGACAGCGTGAGCAGGGGAGGGTCAGAGAGAGAGGGAGTCACAGACTGAAACAGGCTCCAGGCTCTGAGCTGGCAGTCAGCACAGAGCCCGACGCGGGGCTCGAACCCACGAACCGCGAGATCATGACCTAAGCGAAAGTCGGACGCTTAACCGACTAAGCCACCCAGGCGCCCCTGTACTTTCTAAATTAGATATAATTCAAGCTATTTCAAGAATTTTCCACAGTACTTTTTTTATTTTTGAGGGGGTGGGAGGGAGAGTGGCAGAGGGAGAGAGAGAATCTCAAGCAGGCTCCCTGCTCAGCATGAAGCCCATCACTCTGGGATCATGACCTGAGCCAAAATCAAGAGTCAAATGCTCAACGGACTGAGCCAGCCAGGCACCCTAAGAATTTTCCAGAGTATTAAGTGACACGCAAAACCTCCTGCATCACTAGGTCCAACTTTCAGTACAGTTTATCCTTTTCATCTTATCTGCTTGTCCTCGTAAGATTCTGCTCCATTTTTCTACCCTAGACTTATCATTTTCCAATATTCAGAAATCAGAGCTAAGAATTACTCTGCTTTTCTGCAGAATAAACTATGGGCATGCCATCATGCTTTTGATTTACCACAGAAACTATGTATTGTGTTTATTTTAGAAAAGACATCGCTTTTTAAAAGAATGTTTCTTTTTGAGAGAGAGAGGGAGAGAGGGCCTGAGTCGGGGCAGGGGAGACAGAGGGACAGAGGATCTGAAGCGGGCTCCGTGCTGACAGCAGAGATCTGGATGCGGGGCTCAAATTCAGGAACCCTGAGATCATGACCTGAGCCAAAGTTGGATGCTCAACCGACTGGGCCACCCAGGCGCCCCGGAAAGACATCACTTTTATATTCTGCATAATATATGTCTTGCTTATGTTTTAAATAGATTTCAGCGCTTTTTGCTTCCATCACATTTGGGATCAGGACCTCAAAAGAGCTGCCGGGGATAATGCTTCAAAGACAATTCGATTTCATCCTTATTTGTGAGGAAACACTTCATTTCCAAGTTTTAACGGAGCGTTCCTTCTCTGATCTGTAGTGTTCCATTCATTTTATAGCTATGGAAATTTACCCCGCCCCATTCTTGAATACGTTTCTTTACGTCCTCCCATCAAATTCTTTGAATGAGACCGCATGCGCGCGGATCCGGAGCATCCCTGAATCCATAGCAACCAAATTTCAGCTTCTCTCGTTACCATGGTGACGGCTGTGCAGGTCCAGGTGGTCGCTATGGTAACTAGGGGCGGGTAGTCGGGGCCCCGGCAGGCAGGCGCATGCGTGCGGGGAAGCCGAGCTGCGCCGCGCGCCCGCGGCCCCTCAGCTCCCCTCGACATGGCGCTGAGGCGGCGGCCGACGGTCCGGCTCTGCGCCCGGCTGTCTGACTTCTTCCTCCTGCTGATTTTCAGGGGTGAGTGTGCATGTTTCTGCCTTTGGGAGAGGAGGATTTGGGGCAGATGGGAGCAGAGCGGGCCCGGAGCGACTGAAGTCGGTCCTGGCGGGAATAGCGGTCCCGGCTCCGGAGACGCTGCGAGCTCGGCAAGCAGGAGCGGCCCGCGCCCGCGTCCCAGCAGAAAGGGGTCGATCCGGGGCCTCTGGGCGGGGTCCCAGGTCGCGTCGGTTCGCGGGTGCGAGGGGCCCGTGCGAGGCCGGGGTAGCTCGCTCCGGGCGGTGGGCCGGTCCCGGGCGGTGGGCACCGCTCTCTGGAAAGAAGGTGGCAGCTTAGGCATGGGCTTGGAACTTGCTAGAAGACACTGCCGAGCGAGCGCCTTGCCCAGAAGTGGACAGTGAGGGGCCTTCCGAAGTACCAGCGAGACGCAGCTCCGAGGCCTTTCTGTCTTCTTGGTCACAACCCTCTGGGGATGTGCTGTTCATTTCTCTCTTGCAGTAAACAAAAGAACTGAGTTGGGCAAACCCAACTTTCCTTCGTTGGAAATAAAAGGTCACAGATCTCTATCAAGTATCCTTTTTGTCTCTCTCCAGCCTGGCCCAGGAGACCCCGCAGACTCTTACCCTGAAATAGCATCTTGTCGGTTTTGATCAGGTCACACTGACAGACTTCGGAGTTTTGTTTTGTCTTTTCCACTGTCCAGAATTCTCAAGATTTGTGTGTCTCAGGACACTTGGATGGAGGGCCTAATGCACCTTGTATTTAGTGAGCATGTACTATATACTAGGAGCTTTGAAATGATTACCTCATTTACAGCTTACAATAACTTCGTGACATGGGTTTTATTGCCCGTTTTCAAATAAGAGAACTAAGACCTAATTCAAGTCTCCTTTCCAAGACTGCAACCCAAGTGAGTAGTAAAGACTCAAACCGTGTTTACCTAAAGCACTACACCACACGTCTGTGGAGGGCGTCCTCAGGTAACCAGATGAGGTCTTTTCAGTTCTTAGGTCATTTTATCATTTGGCTGCGTTGCCATTGTCATCCCATGATGTTTTCCAAAATATACAAATTAAAACACCAAGTGACTGTTTGGGAGTGGGGGTGGACGGACTAGAGAAACAAAGCACTCCTGTGTTTGATGTTCATTCTTGTGAAATGTTCATAATGGGGGTAGATAAAAGTGAGGGTTTCAGATGGAAGCTGTGGAAACAGGGCTCTATGATGAAGGAGAAGTTTCAGGGTATAGATGTTGCCCATATACTTTGCCTGAAAATGATTTCCAAAAACATGTGGTAGGGAGATATAAATGATCAAAGGCTAGCCAGGGCACAAGGGTGTCAGGAATGTCCAGCTCCCGGCTTTGTTGGTCACACTGACACTGTCCTATTCACAGACTGGAACAACTCCCCATTGTTGAAAAGTTCTGTTCACATGAAAGTTTGCAGTTTTTATTGCAGACACATTTGGCAGTTTTAGTTCAGGAATGAATTTCAACTTGGTTGCTTGTTAATAAAACTAGAAGATGCTCAGTACTTCATATGCCCTTAACTTTTTATTTTACTTTCCTGGAGGTGCAGGTTTTATAGCTTCCTTGATTTTAAGGGCTGGGATTTACCTGCAGAACATAGGAGGAAGAATAAAATTTTGCAAAATAGGACTAATGACAAGAAATCAAGATGGTAGGCTGTATGAATCCACTTTGAGGGCATGCAGCTCTTTTTTCAGTAGGAAACTCTTTTTCTCTTATTTTGTGTGTACTCTAAACACACTGTAATACCTTGAAAACTTTGCCACAGGTCGTGACAGCTGTGTCTTTCTTATTTTTATGATTATTCTTTTCAATTACTATTCTTTTTCAGCGTTCTCATTTTAAAAAAATTTGTTCCTGATATATAACACATTGTTTTTGTTGCTGTTCCTAATACAATACATTCTTTATTAGCCTTTGCCAGGCTGTTATAAGAATTTAGTATGTATTCATATTACTAACAATTTAAGAGATTGTTAATATTGTTCATTTTGTGCATGAAGAAACAAGTCCTGAGAGATGCAATCACTTGCTCAGGGTGATAGCCTATCTGTTTTAAATTTGGAAGTTTTTAACTATTTCTGTTAATCTAATTTTGGGTTACTTGTATTATTCCATTTCATAGCGGATTTCTTGTTATGCATCAGTTTAACAAATTATCAAATGTTCAAAGCTTTGTGGTTTGCATATAAAATATTCTTTTGTTGTATTGGTGACAGGTGCAGTTCAACCTTACAAACATTATGCCGCATGGCTTTTCTGAATGATTATGTAGTCATACTTTTGGTTTCCAAATCTTTTGATGTCCTCGAGAGAAGTGTTTCATGTAGAATTAAAACAGTAATAGTTTGTATTCTTGGGGCAGGACAGCTTGTGTGCTTAAGTTTAGCAAAATCTAAAAATTAAGATTGCCTGGAAAATTTTTGAAAAGTATTCTAAACCATTTTTTTAGAATGACTTGTATTGTTAAAATTCCTTTTGAATTTCCTGGCAGATATAATTGCTATCGTGTGTGTGTGTGTGTGTGTGTGTGTGTGTGTGTGTGTGTGTTGAGAAAAACAAAGAACACCTGCCCTGCATTATGTAGTGCCTCAAATCAGCTGTTCATTCTCAAATGACTTGTTGATAGGCATTTATTCATGAGTCTTCAGGCTGCAGAGAATGAATGGATAGCTATTAGAGGTACTTAATCATAAGTAATTGCAGTATTATATCCAGACAAAATTATCATATACCCAGCCCCTAAGGTCTGTGTAACTTGCTCTTAAGAAAGCCTAGTAGGGTAGGCTTAGAACAGTTCCTGAAAGAAACCAGATTTGTTATTAAGCACACTTTCTGACATGGACACATAATGTAACTGAAGGAGCTATGGATTTAGTATATCAAGCTGGCAGCTGTTAGACATGTGATATTAGCAGATTCCTTCTCCATAAATTCTTTGAATTTTTTCAGAGCACAAGTGGGGTAAAAGAAAAGAAAATATGTGTATGAATGAAGTTAGGATGTATAGAGTCTTTTGAATGATACCCTATTCATGAAGCTGGATTCTTTTTTTTTTTTTTTTTTTTTTAAAGATATGTTTAGAATCAGGTGGTGTGAGTGTGATGCTGTTAGGGTTGAATACAGATTTCAGATTTTCTCTCTACCGTATGAATGCTAACCATATATGCAAATAGCTTCACTGGAGTGTAAAGAGATCCTGAAAGAAAGTTTTGGTAAGCACATTCTTTTACACCCAGTTTAGCAAGGACAGTATCCACTATGGTACTCTATATGGAGATCTAAAGCATTAATTTACTGCCTCTTTGCTACTTTTCATGACATACAGAAAGCTTTCTGAGAATTAGCCCTTGTTTCTGATTTAAAAGGAATGCTGTAGTATTTTGTGGTGGTGTGTTTTCTTTTTTTTTAGGTAGTATCTATTATCTATTATATATTATATTTCCCATGAGTAGTTCGTATGTTCAGCTGTGGTTTCAATGCTGATTGTGTAGAAACATCAAACTTTTTAAGAAATTGGGGTGCCTGGGTGGCTCAGTCGGTTAAGCGTCCAACTTCGGCTCAGGTCATGATCTCACGGTTTGTGGGTTCAAGCCCTGCGTCAGGCTCTGTGCTAATAGCCAGCTCAGAGCCTGGAGCCTGTTTCAGATTCTGTATCTCCCTCTCTCTCTGACCCACCCCTGCTCACGCTGTCTTTCTCTCTCTCTCAGAAATAAGTAAAACATTTTTAAAAATTTTTAAAAAAAGAAATTAAGACTTCACAAACATTTTTTAAAGTCTTTTTAATGTTTATTCATTTTTTGAGAGAGAGAGAGGGCACGAGAGTGGGGCAGGGGCAGAGTGAGAGGGAGACATAGAATCTGAAGCAGTTTCCACGCTCTGAGCTGTCAGCACAGTGCCTGAGGTGGGGCTTGAACTCAGGAACCCCGAGATCATGACCTGTTCCGAACTTGAATGTTTAACCAACTGAGCCACCAGGCTCTCCATATTTTTTAAAAAGTTTTAAAAAATTATTTATTATTTATTTTGAGAGAGAGAGAGAGAACATGCATGAGGGGCAGAGACAGGGAGAGCTAGAATCCCAATGCTGCTCTACACTCTCAGAATGGAGCCCAATGCAGGGCTCGATCTCAGGAACTGTAAGATCATGACTTGAGCTGAAATCTAGAGTCAGAGGCTTAATTGACTGAGCCACCCAGGCGCCCCCTATAAACATTTTTTTTCTCATGTTATTTTTGATTTTCACAGAATTCCAAACTTACATCGTTCAGGCTTCCTTCTGCAAATTACTGCCAAAGTCAAATTCTGCTATATTCATGTTGCTACTCTGCCTAACCTAATCTCAGCTCTTAGTGACCTTTCCTATTTCTATATAAACATGGATGGCTCTTTGTAGTTCAGTTTAGTATAACAGTCATTTGTTGGATATCTGCAATATGCCAGGCACTGTTGTGCATGTTAGGGGTGCAGAAGTGAATAAAGCATTCCCAGCTCTTGAAGAGTCAGGATAGTTGTATGCTGAATTAAGTTGGGTTTCAGTTATTGGGTATAAATACATTCTATCTTTTCAGTGATACTAAAAACTCATTAAAAGTAGAGACTGAATTTAATTTCTTTTGTATTTTTCTAGAGATGACTATAGTAAATATTCCCCTTGTTACTTCTAAGTCAGTTAACTATCTTAAGTACTTCCTGTGTGTCTAGGCATTTTTTATGTATCTTATCTCCAGTGGCCCCAAGAACTTTTGGGAATTCTTAGTTTTTACTTAAGTAGTTTCTGTGAAAGAAAGCAAATGGTAAGTATTTCTTGGTTTAATTTAAAAATCTTTACCATCTATGCAGTTATACATGGTTAAGAAGAAAAAAAAAAACCCATGGGAAAATGTTTATAATTTAAGTGACACAAGCTGCAGGTAGGTAGAATATATGATATGGTTACAGTTATGTAAAAACTGATCTTATGTTTAGGGGGGGAAAAAACCCCTGGAAT